GTTTATTTATTTTATGTAAGCTACAACTGTCATCGTATGATACAAAAAAGAATCAGAATTTTATTGCACTATTAAAACAATTCCTATCAATATAACCTAAAGATAATGTATTGGAATAGTCCAATGATGTTTTTGTATGAAAATTGCTACTCTGCTTATAAAATTATATTGAATTGCCAGTTAATTTATAATTATGACATCAAGTCATGGTAGGACCACGCAACAGTCCTAGCTGTTGCACGAATGGGCAGGTCTGTCCGGGTGAGTACCACGACTTCGCAGAAGACTGGCGTGAAGCCGTGCATTTCGTTTAGTGAGTGAGGTTGATGCGGCACACTTTATTAAAAGATAGCAACACATCTGCAACCCTACTGTCTTGCAAATGTGCATGGGCAGCGGTTATCACTTAACTTCAGGTGAACCGCCACCTTCTCACATAATTTTTTTATCAATTTTGTTATAGATCGGGAGCTTTATTACTATGCTTTATACTTATGTCATGGTCGTTATATTAGCAGCACAGATATTTAATAATTAAAGATAGAGAGCCTTTAATAGCCCGATGCTGAAATAGGGCGTAAGAACACCGCCGTTCTTATCAGTCAACAAATAACACAGTGGACGGCCGCTGGGGTCGCGATTCGCTCTACGGTACGCTATACAACTATTAGCCAAAAGTAGAATCTATCAAACTGTTATGTTAACAGTTTGACAGATTCTACTTTTGCTTCTACTACTGCACTAAGCCTCATTTTAGAATTTCGTAAGTTTCCGATGAAGTTTTTTATAGCTTATAGAATGAAAGTGAAAACATCACTCCTTAAAAATCTAATGTGGGCGAACCTGTGCATTATACATAAAACTGTATATGTTAAAATATTCAATTTTCCATTTCTAGTTCATCGGACGTCCTATATACAATATTACATTCCAAATACTCTCTTCGAATACTCCTTAAAGCTTCCTTGCACAGAGGATCACGAGTTTCTGCTTGATTTACTCCTTCAAGGTTCAGTGAATTTAACAAACATTCTCACTACAGGGAAATACATTTTAAATAATGTTCAAGAATTTGTAAACTATAACGTGGCTGTTTTATGTCTTTATTTCTTGAATATACATTCAGCACCTATGAATTGTTATTACGGTGAATTCTTAAATACGATCAATTTATTTAAAGGTATATTGATTAAAAAAATGGCACATTATACATATTTACGAATGACGAATTAAGTAAAACACGAATGAGTTGTTCGTAATTTCGTGTTCAATGTATGTATTTATTTCTCTTTCCATTGTGCATAAATATTTAAAAATAAGTATTTACCAATTTTTGTTTGAAAACATTGCTCTTACTTTAGGATAAAATTATCCAGTGTTGTAAGGACGTTTTACAAACATAAATTTCACGCGGACAAACACCCAGATGCGAAACAACTATCTGTGGGTCACACAAATAGTTGTCTCGTGTGGTAATCGAACCCACGACCCCCGACGCCGAAGCCAATACCTTGGCAACTGCGCCACAGAGTCGTCCATGCGCCACCAATAAATAACACTTGTGATGATACGATAATGATTGTGATGATAGAGGGTAAGTATACAATTCGTGATAAAAAGCAAACTTATCCGGGCCTCACATAAGACCGCGACGTGATGTGGAGGTTTCATACTTCTGAATTCTTTCCGGTATAAGTTAACTAGGACTCTCTTTTTAAAAGGTTGGCAACGCATCTAACCCCACTTATGCTATTACAAAACGTAAAGTCGGGCGCTATCTACCTGATTTGGATGAATAAATTTGTGCCCCGAATATAAATGAGCACAACACCATATCCATAGATAGTCCTAGTCCTAACGCCTATGAGAACGGCGAAACGAACACAACACGTATACAAGGTACATAGATTAATAAAGTCAATAGCCATCGTGGTCATGGTCCGTAACCTAGATGGCCTATAAGATATATTCCAACCCAGTGTACAACCAAGGCCTGTAAATAACAGATGCGTGAGCATTAGCGCAGCCCTATCCATCACGGAGCGTATCAAGCTCGTCGATTCTGGTTACCCATGAATTCTGTTCATAGGTTACCCAGAACCGTTCGTTCGATTACGTTTCAATAGTCTAAGGATTTAAAGCAAGCGAATCAGTTAAAGTAAAGAAATAATGAACAAATGGAATATTTTCATCCCAGGTGAAGCTTATTGTATGTCCGTCAACTCGACTACGAGTTAGAACACTTGCTTGCAAGATGGTCTCAACAACAAATTGAGTTATGCTCATTGACACTACTGTCATTTATTTTAGTACTCTATTGTTTGTACTTTATATGTGCTTTTTATAATAATTTTATTTAGTTTGTGAGATGAAACGATAAATAAATAATCTTGCCAAGCATACATGATATTTTAAATATAATTCAATCATATGACATATAATACTTCAAATATTGTCCTTAGTTCTAATAGAGTCTTCTTCTAATTCCCACACTGAGTGGAGTCGGCACAATACGTACTTTCTTCTACTTTGCTCTATCAGTCGTCATCTCAATAACCTTTCACAGACATATCATTCTTAACACACACCATCCAAATTTTTCTAGGTCTTCCTCTAGCTTTACACTCTTCAACCACATAAACACTCATTCTGATAGTTACATGTTCTTGAAATAGTATTTGACGAGAAATTAAAGCAGAAGTTTATATTTATATGGTATATCCTATTGCTTAACAAAATTATCCTCTGTGCACAGTTCGCAGGAGTTTCCTTACGCCGTTTTCTGTAATACCGTGAAGTTTGTAAATAAATTGTGTATTACATACAAAGCAACAAAAGGCTGATGGATGACTACGAAGCACATTCACATATATATTCTTTAAGCCATAACGGCAGGGAAAACACAAAAGAGAATTCATCGAAAGATCGGCTTCACTGAGATCCCAAATAAAAGAGTTTTAAAACTCATGCGTGAATTGCTTATGCTTTCTTTGCTAACCGATTCAAGTTAGCCGACTTAAGCGTTTTCTTACTTCATTAGGCAAAAATATGTTAAAATATGCTCCTGATGAAGTGACAATTCAATTCTATAAGTAAACTTTAAATTAAATACTAAAGTAATTTTGTATTATTCAAAAAAAATATTAAACAAATCGAATAAAAATATTTTATTTACAGAGGGTTTTTTTGGTTTGAGATTTACGCCTACTTTTTGAAGTTACAGTAAAAATGAAATTTGCTTTCTGACGATTGTTCTGTCTGCTTAATTTAATAATGCTGAACATGTCATTGTTTATTCTACCGCTTGTAAATCCAAACACAAATGAGTCGCTTTCAAAGTTTCCAAAACTTCACGGCAGCTGGTGGTTCGCATGTAAAGAAATTCTCATTCAATGCTCATAATGGCCGTAAATACATTTCGCCTTTGTGTGGCAGTAACGAGTTGTTTCTCTTTCGTGCTATGTTTGAAACTTTATCTCTATTTATATTCAAGTACCTGTTTCTTTTTTCTTCTTAATATTCGTTTACGTTTCTACCATTTAATGTACAATACATTTTAACTTGGTCATTTTTGTTTGTGACATTTTTTAACTAATTACATATGAAATTACATTTCTCCCTTCCTTCGAATTGTCCGCTCATTTCGAATTTATTCTAAAATGTAATGATCGTTGTAATATTACAAAAAAGTCCGAAAATATAAGTAGGTTGCAACCTCCGGGCATCTTAAGAGCTATAAAAAAAACAACTTTTTGGTTTAAAATATAATAGTACAATTAGTTGCATAAACTCATATCGCTTACATGCAATCATATCTTTGGAATGAATGCAAGTGTGTAATATAACTCCGTTTCCCGTCATTTTGCTGTTTTAGATAAAAGTAATGATGTCCTTGTATTCAAAGAGAATAAAATAAGCAAAAGTAAGGCTTTATAAAACAAACTCTGTAATGGAATTTTGGAAATCGTTATGGATGGTATTCTAGAATTTCAATGACACGAGAATGAAAAAAAAAATTCTCACTGATTGATGTCCATAAATAATTACTTGGATTTGATAGTTGTTATATTAAATTTTACAATTAGTTTATATATAATAAATCACATTTTGCATGTCGTGGAATATTGAATTATTAAATTTTGCAATATCAAAGACTCTAGTAAAAACCTTCAGGCACGAAAAAAAAACTTATTTACGACTTTAACCATGCCAAAAAGATATTCGTCTTTCTCATGCCAGTCTACGTGGAGTCTGGGCTTAGCTTTGCAATACCTTGGGTGGTAGATGCTTTACCTGACTCACCAGAATTTAACACATCCACTTTACGTCACTATTTTGTGAGGTCTTGGTAATAAATAATAAATCGTTATCTTCTCATTCTTCACAATTCATTGAGTTTTTCCTTTATTTAAGACATTTGTTATTTTACTTTATATGAAGAACGATAAATTGTTTGCAACATTATCTACATATATGCCTCTTATTATTTAATTACCACATAGTTAATGTGACCTATTAGATAGTAGTAAAGTTTTGAATTAAATGGAGCAAATATAATGAGCAAATGCAATGAGTACAAAATAAACTGTTCATACTCATGTTCCTGAGAAATTTAAATATTTAATTTTTTTCCACGCAATTACGTTATCCGATACTCGTAGCATATAATAACTCTTAGCTTTTAATAGTGTCTGGTTCGTTAAGTGCTCTGTTGGCGAACGGATTGTGAATTTTCGTCGACATCTTTCCCATTTGGAGGTGCTCCAAATGCTTTTATTGTCGGTATCGAAGACCCTCGAAGCCTTAGTTGGATTTAAATGGACCGTACCGGCTCCATTTAAATAATATTTACTCGCAAAGTTGTGTTCGAAGGAACGAGCAGCGATGCCCCAGCAATCTATTGGAGTTGGCATATTTGGATGATTTCTGTTAAATTTTTAATTGATTTTATTCCTCAAGTACATATACCTCAGTTACAAGTATTGTCTGTTTTGTTACAGGATATGGTATTATTTCTCTGAAGATACCGGCGTCACCAGCGTCCCACTGCACTCTTCATACGACTGTCGGCTGCGTCGGTAATGATGAATGCACGTCTAAAAGTCACAGCGTGATCAGACTTTTAGGGCCGGTCAGGGATGTGATCGTACGGCCAGCTCGCCACCACTACAGACCAGGAGAAACCAGTAAGAGAACTTTTAAAAAATATTTATATATCTATGTTACTTAGTAATGTAAATTTTTGTAGTGCCAATGTCTGCACTTGAGATGAAACATAATTTGTAGAAGAAAGTACGAAAAGTTCCTCGCCGCTGTGGTAATCGAACCCACGTCTTCGGCATTCGCACCCAGATGCTTTAACCACTAAACTAAACGGCTGATTGCCACACCACCACCTAGTGAACAGCTTTACGGTATGCTGACATTCAAACATTAAGTAACATTTTATCTGATTCAGTTAAGTTTATTTTGACCCTGCATATATACACGTGTGATTTAAATGTTATACGTTATTGTGCTATCAATTCGGGTCAAGACCACCTGTTTTTGCATGTGAAAATGAAAACATCATTGGATCCAAATTTGCGAATCAACGCCGACGCCAACGCCAACTTGTTCAGCTATTGCTAACTTTCAGTTTATTGTCGTAGTTCGAACGTAAACCGGTGTTACTCGGTGTAATTAATTACTCAGTAACAGCCCATACGTTTCCCAGCCAACTGTTTCTGTGAACGTTTACGCACAAATTCACTTTCCATTAATGCGTTGGTATTTTGGGATTAGTTTGATTAATTCGGGACTTTAGGTGCTATTGTCGTATTATTAAATAGGTGACCTTAAGTTTAAAATACATAGCTTAGGTAATTTCAAAAAAGGAGGAGGTTTCTCAATTCGACCGTATATATGTTTATTTCTTTTATGTGTGTTCGCGGATAACGTCGTTGTTTATAAGCCGATTTTGATGATTCTAATTTTTTCGCAAAGAAGATATCCCAAGCTTGGTACCATGATAAGGAAACCAGGATCTTGATGGCATCCCAAAGAAATCGAGAGCCATCATCGAATGTTATAGGTATTAACAATGTTCTTAATTTTGTGATTGAAGTAGCTTTTCATTTTGTTAAATATTATACTTGTAACTTATAAAATGTTAACCTGGTGTCACTAATTGAGCGGAGGCAATGTTTGAGCAAAAAACTTCAGCCAACAACCAATCATATTATTATCCTGGTCTGACATATATACAATAGAAGATATTGACGTAGCTTTTGACTATTTTCATGACCTATTTTTAGTTTTTTATAATTTGTGCTTTCCAAACAACATTAGAATAAAAATAGTAAATAAAAATATGAGAGCGCGGTGGATTACTAAAGGGATAAAAAAGGCAACTATCACAAAAAGAAATCTGTATTTAAAATATATTCATGGCAATGCTAATAAAAATCTAAATAAACAAAAATACAATGCTCATAGTCGCATATTGAAAACATGTATCCACACTGCCAGAAAAAATGTAAATAATAAATATATAGGCAACAGTTCTAATAAATGCAAAGCAACTTGGGATGTTATCAAAAACAATATAATGTGTAAACCAACCTCTCAGGGCGTAGATTACATAACGTATAATAACATTAAGTACACTGATGCACAAAAAATTGCGGAAGTTTTTAATAACCACTTTATAGGTAATATTACAAAACGCAACAAAAATCATAATCTTCTTAAACAGATTGTAACAAACGACAAAACAATTTTTCTATATCCTACGGATTTTTATGAGGTTCTAAAATAATAATGAATCTTAATAATAGTAAATCTGTCGGATACGACGAAATTTTAACGAAAATATTAAAAGCGTGTGCAAATAACATATCTGAAATTTTAAGCTTTTTGATAAATTTATCGTTTTGTAAAGGCATCTTTCCATCGAAGTTAAAACAAGTAATTGTAAAACCACTTTTTAAGAAAGGTGACAAGGCAACAGTAAACAATTATAGACCAGTTACTCTCGTGCCTGTGTTATCGAAAATATTTGAAAAAGCTATGTGTAATAGATTAAACTTATTCTTTATAAAGTATAATATATTAAATCGGCATCAGTTTGGATTTGTAAAGAAAAGTTCAACTACACTTGCATGCTTTCATCTTATTAAATTTGTCACCGAAAGCATATCTCAAAGGATACCTGTAGTAGCAGTACTATTAGACATGACTCAGGCCTTTGACCACATAGAACATGACATTTTGCTTCAAAAGTTAGAAAAATATGGTATTCGTGGTGAAGCAAATCATTTGATAGCTAGTTATTTGAAGGACAGAAGGCAATGCACTGAAATATGTAAGATGGTGCCTAAAAACAAACAAATACAAAAATCATCATATAGATCTGATTATAAAATTATTAAATATGGTGTTCCACAGGGTAGTATTTTAGGACCGCTTTGAAACCGCTACGAAAGAAAAATGCATTCTTTTCGCCGATGATACAACTCTAATAATAAAGGCTAATGACATACATAATTTTAGTAATCAAATCAATGACTCTATTCGTGACGTAGTTAAATGGCTTGAATTAAATAACCTTAATATTAATTTTGACAAAACAAAAATAATACAATTTACGACATACAAATAAAAAAAAAATAGACATTAACATTAAATCTGATAATAAATCGATAGAAACGGTGCAATCTGCAGTATTTTTGGGTATCACACTTGATGAGCAATGCAATTGGAAGGAGCACATTTTTAAAATTTGTAAGAAATTAGACCGATTTGTTTATGCTCTAAGACGATTACGGAGAACAGTGTCGCGAGAGGCAGCTCTATGTGCATATCATGGTTATGTTTCCTCAGTTCTAAGCTACGGGTTATTGTTATGGGGTAACTCTACCGATAGCCAGAAAGCATTTGTAGTACAAAAAAAATGTATTCGCGCTGTATGCAATTTGGGGTACTGTGAAAGTTGTAGATCCCATTTTAAGAAATTAAACATTACCGTGTATGTATGTGAGGGATATCTGTTTGTTTGTAAGACAAAATTTAAATTTATTTATACAACAGTCAGATGTAACACAGAGGCATACTAGGCACAAAAATAAATTATTCTTGCCTAAATCAAGCACCTCATTCTTTAATATGAATGCTTTCTACATGGCAATCCGTGTATACATTCGTCTGCCAGACACAATAAAGAATGAAACAAGTAAAACGTTTAAACTAAAGTTGATAGAATGGCTTCTCAGCAACTGTTTTTATAGTCTTTCTGAATATTTCAATAACTAATTTTGTTTGTAAAATTATTATTTAATTGATATAATTATAATAGTAAATATAGGTGACATATATAGCAATTTGACGATGACATGTATTATGATTGATTTTCTCTTTGACATATTTATGACAATTTGTATAACATTTATCCATAGTTATTTTTTTATAGTTTTGTATTTAAATTTTATGTCGATCGATATTTTGCGTATCACGTGTATGTTAATAAAAAGCGACTTATCATGAGTTTCGAAATGACTTGTGAACTTTGTACGCGCTATGATTTTTAAGGTTTTTTTTTAAACAATCACAATTTAATAAGCGTAATGGGAATTTGACAACTGAAAGAAAAATTGTGATAACTTACTATACTAACCAACACCGGAGCTTAAATGGAATTGAATAAAAATATTACTTTAAAATTTAAGAACCATTTTTACATTAATGTAAAAATATATATAGATGTTTTGCGTGAATTGCTTTTTGTATGTTACATTCGTACTTAAACGATATTAGCACTGTACATTTTTGCAGTTTGGAACTCGCAGTGTTTTATTTCGTATGTGACCCTTTATTGAAACCCATATATCAGTGTCATTTTACACTTAAACGAAACACGCGAATTGAATTTTCTCGCAAATTGAATTTTCTTATACAGTATCGTTAAATCGACGAAATTATTTGCTACAGTATAATACCAAAAACTGCAAACGTTTTATTAATTCCGTCGATAAATCGTCTGTCGTAAACACGTTGTAAAATATCATTTTCCGAAGCTGTGCAAAATATTATATTCTGTTACGTTTTCCGTCCTCCTCCTGCAATAATTTCTGGTAGACTTCTTGTTTTGTTACGAGGTTATTTTGTTCCTCCTGATACTTAAATTAACGTTTCGTTATTAATTAAAATAAACGCTAAACGTTTTAAACACTTGGTGATAAAATGCAATTTGTTTTGAGAATAAAGAGGCACATAGGATCTTCATCATTTGGTAAATTTCAGATGTTTATGCAAATAGTACTTTCAGATGTTTATGCAAATAGTACTTCGTTCTTTAAAAGTTATTATGTTCAGAGGGCAGGTTGTTATTAAACTTTACAGCGTTAACGAATGGATTATTGAAGAAGTTGATGTTATGAATTCTGCGTACTTTAGGAATAAGGAGCTGTTTGATTTATTAAAAAACATTTTTATGTTTATAGAACATAATAAGTTATTTGTTATTTGTACGAATTAAATAAGTTTTTTGTAGATGTAATTTTTAAAAACCATATATCCAATTGGCGTAGTTGATAGTGACTCTGGCTCGTACGCCAGAGGTTGTGGGTTCGATCCCCACCACTGGAAAAAAATTGTGTGATGTACATAATTTTTTTCCAATATCTGGTATTTATATATCTATAATATGTATTTATTGACAAAATAGATACGTTTAAATATGCTTATCAGTTTTCTAGTACCCATAGTACAGGCTTTGCTTTGGGATTAGATAACGTTGTGTAAAATGATTTCCCGAAATATTTATTACCATTATTATTGCAGTTACATTTTGGATACTCGCTTTGGACCACGATCTGCGATTGGTGCGCGGCGAGATAGCTTACGTCGCGCTAAGCGATCCGGCCGGCACCAAAGTCGCTATCTGGGATCAACTGTCAATGGAGGAAGGTAAGATAAATAAATTAAGTGACTTCGCTGCTTCGGCTGCTGCGTGGCTATCCTACAAGCGAGAGTATATTCTCGCTTGTAGTATAGCCACGCAGCAGCTTCTGCTGTTGTTAGGCAGGCTCGTCCGAGGAATCGCCACTGCCTCATCACGGCGTGAAATGGAAATATGTCTGGTAAGTGAGCCAGTCAGCTCACCTACCAGACATACTTTATTATCTATATATATATATATAATTCTACT